CTTCCTTCCTTCCTTCCTTCCTTCCTTCCTTCCTTCCTTCCTTCCTTCCTTTCCTTCCTTCCTTCCTTCCTTCTCCTTCCTTCTCCTTCCTTCGCTTTATTATTTTTACCAGGTGTTTTGCATTTTAAACGATGATCAACTTCAATAGAAACAGTATCCTTAAAAAAAAAAAAGAAATGAAACAGAAAAACTTTCCAAAAACCATTCAGCACTTGCAGAAAAGGGCCCCTGTGGCCCAGACAAGCAAAGCCTCTCTCGCCTGCCCCTTCCCGGCCAATGACCCACAACACAAACTGTGTCGTCGCTGTGGCTTGGGGCAGATGGTGGTTTGTGTTTGCGTTCCGAAGGGATGACCTTTCGCGCAGCCTCGGTTAGGAAACCAGAGTTTGGCACCCTGAAACTCCACTCCGCCCAGGCAGGTGGGCATCACCGCGGTGCCAAAGGGACATCTGCTGGAGAGTGGAGACTGGGGATGAAGTGGTGGAGTTTTAGAAAATGAAGAAGAAGAACGGGTGGAAAAAAGCAAAGAGAGGCAGGGGGAAAAAAAGAGAGAGAGAGAGAGAGGTAGAAAGAAAGGAGCTGCAGCTGATTCCAGCCACAAAGAAAAGAACGAGCTGGGGAGAGAGAAGGATGGAAAGAGAGAGAGAGAGAGAGTCCCGCAGTGACCCCAAGGGAACAGAATGAGTCAGGGTAACCATATTGAGCAGGAAATTACTCACAGACGCTGCGTTCCTGCCTCTCTGTTCCCAAGAGAATCGGCCTTTTGTAAATGGTTCCTCTGTCAGTTGAAAAAAAAATTAAAAGGGGGGGGGGGGGGGGAAAGGGGGGGGGGGGGGGGAAGGCAGCTGAGCCCAGCACCTTCCTTTCCACGGCTTCCCTTCCAGCCAGGAAGGGCTTAGCATTCCTGTCTCCCCCCCACCCATCAAGCCAAACACGCGATGCAAAGCTTTTTAAAATGTTTTATTTTTCCTCTACGCTCCCTTCCCAGCCCCCTTTATTTAAATTATTAAATTGTTCTGTCATAAAAAGGAGCATTCAATTATTCTGCTGCTCTGAAATCGGGAGTTAGCCCTTCCCAAAAGTTCCCCAAATTTAGGAGCTGGGTTTATTGACCGGTTTGTTAAAAAATGATGTCCTACCTGCAAAAATTGAAAGTGGGGAGAGGGGGGCGGGGTGTTGAAAAGGGGGTGAAGAGGACAACAACAACAACAACAACAATAATCTTTGCACTGCATGTTTGGGGCTCAGGGAGGAAAAGAAAGGCAGGAATGCTAAACCCTTCTTCCTGCTTTTTTTTTTTTTTTCAGGCGTGGAATTTGTGAGTGGGAAGGCAAACCGACTTCTGGCCCAAGATTTGGGCCTGTTCACTGACCTCCCCCACCCCACTCCGCACCCTGGGAGGGGGGGGGCTCATCGTGGAGGCCTGGTTTGGAAATGAGGCCAGAGGGGACCCCACAAGAGACAGGGAGATGCTCTCGCTGAACAAAGGAACAAAGCGGGGGGGGGGGGGGGGGGGGGGGCCGGGGGGGGACAGGGGGGCGGGGGGGGGGGGGGGGGGGGGGGGGGGAGAGAAACAAGCGAGGCTGTGGGTGGACTGTCATGGCCCCCACCCTGAGGGGAGTCCTGTCCCTCTTTCAGGGATCTCCAAATGGCAAAGCTGTCCTGTTCTACGGAAGGCCTGAAATGTGGTCGTAGGACATAGCATCCTAGGGCCGGAAGGGACCTTGGAGGTCTTCTAGTCCACCTCCCCCTGTGAAAGCAGGAAACCCTACACCACTTCAGACAAATGGTTATCCAACATCTTTTTAAAAACTTCCAGTGTTGGAGCATCCACAGCGTCTAGAAGAAAGTTGTTCCACGGATTAGTTGTTCTCACTGTCAGGAAATTCCTCCTTAGTTCTAGATTGGATCTCTCCTTGATTCAGTTTCCATCCGTTGCTTCTTCTGCTCCTGCTTTCAGGGGCTTTGGATTTGACCCCCCACCCCTTCTCTTGTCACAGCCCCTCAAGTACTGGAAGACGACTATCATGTCCATTCCTAGGCTCAATTATTAGGGGGGAAAAAGGCCTTGGTCCAGATGCCCACCCTACTGGCCATCATGACAGAAACTAGAAGGAGAGCGAGAAGTTTCTTGGCTAGCAGCTTTGTCCAGTAGAAGACATCTGTTGTCCATCCAACAAGAGTTTCCTTATTGGGTAAATCTGCTGGAATTTGCGATCTGCCCCACCCATTATGCAGCTGCGGGCTATGCGCTCCCTTATCTGACCGTCCCCTAGGCGCCCACATCTCCAAAGGCCACCCCCACATACCATGACATCACCCTTCTCCTCCCCTTCAGATTCATCCTCCCTTTCGGCTGAGATTCGGAGCAGAAAAACAAAACTCCCCTTCGGCCATGCTGTGGGTGCTGTAGTTCCACTGTTCTGCCCCTAGGGGCCGATATTGTGCTGGCACGTGACCCTGGGATACGGCATCCGTCACAAAGACTAGCCAGTTGCCAAGCGCCTGAATTTTGACCACGGGACGGTAGGGATGCTGCAACCATCGCAAGCGTGAAAAACAGCCCAGTCGTTATTTCCCGCGCCGTCCTAACGTTGAATGGTCACTAAACGAGCAGTTGTAAGTAAGCTGTAAATTGAGTGCCTGCTGTCCCGCCCTCTTAGGCAACGCAGACAAAGACAAACCCCGGTTATAAGAATAAAAGTGGGGCTCTTGCAAAAGTCAAAATCTTTTTTTTTTTTCTTTCATAAAATCAAGAGAGCACTAGGTGGAGCTGCAAGAACACAACTGGTGTCCAGTCCACAAATGTTTCCAAGCCAAAGCTTTTAACGGGCTTCTTTGAGGTGGCTGCAAAAATTGGGCCTCCTTCCAGGATACAAAACTACAGGTTGGTCCTTGACTTACAGCCATGCAGTGTCCGTCACAACGGCAATGAAAAAAGTGAGCGTTTTTCACGCACACGACTGCTGCAGCCTCCCCTGGGGTCACATGATCGAAATTTGGACGCTTGGCAACTGACATGTACATATGATGGTTGCGGCATCCCGGGGTGGGGGGAGAGGAGGGGTCACGTAATCCCCCCCCTTTTCCAACAAGGAAAAGCCACATTCACTTAACAACCCGGTTACTAGCTTAGCAACTGTGGCAAGAGAGGTCGTAAAACGGAGCCGGACTAACTTGTCTCGCTTAGCAACGGAAATGCTGGGCTCCATCGTGGAGGGGGGGGGGGTTCGTAACTCAGGGGCTCAAAGGAAGGGAAAGGAAGGCAAAAAAATTCCAGCCTCACCTCTGTGATGAACCGGATGCATTCGAGGAACATGTAGTCCTTGTGGTGCTCGTTCACCACCTTCTCGTCCACAAAGTGCCGAGGTTCCAGGTTGGGGTGATCTAAAGAGAGGATCTTTTCAGAGCAGCTGGGAGATCAACCCCTGGAGCCTGGCAAATGCCCCTCGGCTCTTCAAAACGAGCCCCGAAGAGTTGAACAGGGCCGGAGACATTGCTTGACGGCGGAGGGGGGAAAAATTTATCCTCTTTTTGATACAGGCAACCCTTGACTTAGAACCATTTGTTTAGCACAGCAAAAAAAGTGCCTGTTTTTTCACTTCAAGACCATTGGCAGCGTCCCCATGGTGCTCGGCAACTGGCATGTACTTATGACGGTTGACAGTGTCCTGGGGTCAGGGGATCTCCTTTTGTGACCGTCCAGGACAAGCAAAGTCACTGCAGAAGCCAAATTCACTTCACAACTCTGTTAACTAACAATGACACTTAACAACCGTGGTGAGAAAGGTTGTAAAATGGGGCCGAACTCAAGTTAACAACTGTCTTGCTTTGCAATGGAAACTTTGGGCTCAGTTGTGGTTGTAAGTCAAGGACTACCTGTATGGAGGGAACCTGCCTACTGCAGAAGGCAGAAATCCTGTTGATATGATAGCCAGGGGTTTAAATTTTTTAAGCCTCTGCTTTCCGCTCTTTGGAGCCCACAGTCCACATTTCTCTGGCAATCCTGTTTTCTAAACTTCCAGGTTTACCTAACAGTTACACAGTAACTTGAGGACCCTGAGCCAGTCCCTCTCTCTCAGCCCTAAGAAGCAATGACAAACCACTCCAGAAATCTTGCCAAGAAAACTGCGGGGACTGATAGTAAATAAATACCCTTTATAGCCCCTTTGAAAGAAATGGCAGCAAAAAAGATAATTTTTCCCAAAGAGGAAGAAAAAGAAAGGAAAAAAACAGAGACAGAAAGAGAAAAAAGGAGAGAGAAAGAGAGAAAAAAAGAGAGAAAAGAGAGAAAAAGAGAAAGAAGAAAAAGAGAAAAGAGAGAGACGAACAGGAGACAAAAAGAGAGAGAGAGAGAGAGAGAGAAAAGAAGAGCAAGGAAAAGATACAGAGAGACAGAAAGAGAAAAAAGGAGAAAGAGAAAGAGAAAAAAAAGAGAAAAAAGAGAAAGAGAGAAAGAGAAAAAGAGAAAAAGAGAGATGAACAGGAGAGAAAAAGAGAGAGACAAAGAAAAGAAGAGAAAGAAAAAGATACAGAGACAGAAAGAGAAAAAAGGAGAAAGACAAAAAGAGAAAAAAGAGATGAACAGAAGGAGAGAAAGAGAGAGAGAGAATATCCCTGCTTACCAATCAACTGAGAGCTTCCCCAAATGAAGGGGAGGAACTGAAAGTCATCCAGACCCCAGACCCCTTGACTGCCAGCTGGCTCCATCCGATAGGTTTTCTGAAGTTTCCGCATCACTTCTAAGTACCTGAAACCAAATCAAATTGGATGGGTCAGGATTATGCAGCAACTCAACCTTTGATTATCCCAGTCTACTGGACCACTGACTCTCCGACACAGCCATGAAACCACCCTCGACATGAACTCAATGGAAAAGACCCCCCCCCCCCCGGCCACCGGGAAGAATAATGGAATGACTGGAAGCAGAAGGAGAATCTGGGGATTTGGGATCTCAATCAACGTCGTAACATGGGCAGAGCCTGGGGGTTGGACTAGAAGACCTCCAAGGTCCCCTTAAAACCCTGTTATTCTAGATTCTCTGTTCACTCTTCAGGAAGCAGATCTTCTGCCTCTCCCCTTGCACAACCAGCCAAGAGGGAGTGTGCGGAAATGAAACGGTCCCCAGCTACCTGACAACTTGCTCCAAAGCGGCGTTCTCAACTTCAGGGGCTTTGAGATGCGTGGACTTTACCTGTTGAACACTTTGAAGACGATGGCCAGCTGATCGTCCAGCCGGAGGACACCGATTTTGCAGAGGCAGCAAAGGAAGGCAGCGAAGGCCGCTTCGTGGCCTAGGGAGGGAAAGAAGATGCTCAGGAGGAAGAACAGTTTGGTCTAGTGGTTAAGGCTAGGAGGCACCTTGAGTTATTTGTAAAAATAATAAAGGTGAGACTGAAATGAATAATATATAAAAAATAGAAAAAACGTCCAGGCTTAAAAAGTGGCCCTACATATCTCAGCCACTTCAGGTAGGAACTCTTTCAAAACTCTTTATTTTGAGACAGAAGGTGCTTTGGGAATTCCAGCTTTCCCCCAGGAATTCTGCCCTCTGTCTGCATGAAAGTGACCAGTGTGTTTTTCAATCCTGGCAACCTTAAGATGGGTGGATTTCAACTCCTAGAATTCCCCAGCCAGATCCTATTTTATTGTATAACTGCATCCAGAAGGCAGGAAGTAACTTTTTCAAGTTACTTTTGTATGTTTGTTTTGTTCCTGTGATGTATGCATCACTCTTTAAACTTTCACTACATCCCCTTCAGATTGTAATTTTGTATTTTAATTATGTACTTTCGAAAGCTAGTAACAAAAAGTTAAAACAAACAGACATTCCAAATATTTAAGGAGCCTCTGCATGTGTGCAAATACATGGAGCTAATCTGGGCCTGTGAGCCCCAGAGTACAATTTAACGTTTCCAGAAAACTCAAAAAAGCCTCCACATAATGCAGTTAAACCTCGGTTTAGCTCTCTCTCCTGTGATGTCACACAAAATGACAATCCCGTTTGTGGGTCAGGCTGGCTGGAACTGAATTGCTTCTACATTCAGGAAAACTAGGCTGGGCAAGAGCTATTGTAAAAAGTCACAGCAGAAGGAAAAGTGACTTTCATGTGCGAATATCTCAAGTGGTTCCTAATCTCTCCAAGCTAAACTGAGGTTCAGTTCTGAACTACCAGGAACAAAACAGGAATTGGAGCTAAAGGTAACCAGGATGACAGTGCCGACTGGTGGCTGATTGCGGCTTTACTGCAGGTTAGCTGTGGCTTATGGCTTCAGCACACGTCTGGAGTTTTCAAATGTAATTCCGCTTCCTCGGGTCATTTTTTCAGTGTTAAAAAAGAGCGCTATTTTCAACTTTTTGATAACAGGGAGGATGCTTGGCAATGAAACATCTGCAAGGAAACTGCCATGCTTGGAGAGCACAGAATGCCCTCCCAGGCCAGACACCCACCCACTCCCATCATCCCTGGGAGCCAACCGGAGCTGCTTAGAAGATGGGCGACTATATAAATGCTTTAAATCAATGAACAGATACCTGTGCCATAGTCGATGCGAGTCGAATTGCCAACGGACTCTTTCAAGTACACTGCCACCTCGGGCACGGCCTCAGCTTGCTGTCTGGGGACGACAGTTGCCACCAAGGACTCTGCCCCCTAAGATGTAGCCACAATCGAGCAATTAGAGACCCCAGCATTGCAATCCAGGCCGGAGAATAAATCTACAAGCCGAGCGTGGCCCCCCTACCCATCCAGCTATTATTCTTCACAGAATGCCAACCCCGAGCAAATGACTTCAAATGCGGACTTCAGACCCCAGCATGCCTCTGGTGCTATTTGGCCGTGGCTAAGGCTTCTGGGAAACGGAGGCTGGGAAAGAGATCATGTGGCCGGTTGAGGAATTCTGGGAGTTGAAGTCCACAAGTCTTAAAGTTGTCAAGATTGGAGGCCCCTGTCCTAAGAGAATGTAAGCTGGCCACGAGACTGGAAATCCAGGAGTATAAGCTCATGCAATAATAAATCAGATTTAAAAAAAAAAATCCTTGTTTTGCACTTCAGGGGTTAGACTAAATGGCCTCTAATGTCCTAGTTTACAACTCTGGGAGTCTTTTCGGCCTAAACTGACTGGCAAAGGCAGGCTTACTTCTGACCCTCTCTCCATGGGACCCCCTGCCCCCTCTCTGTCAGCCCTTCCTCCCAACCTACCTGGTCCACTTTTGCATACCACGTCCGGAAAGCTTTGTTCCCGAAGCGAGAAGGCTGATCCATGGGGGGCGTCTCATCGATCCACCGATCCAGCATGTTGAGGAGTGTGACCAGCTTTTCGATGGGCTGTTGGGAAGAAGGTACAGCTGTCCTATCAGCCGGCGGTTAGCAAGCCTTGAAACGGAATTCACACAACGCACCCTGTTCTGCCAAGTTTACCCGCTTTATAAGGCGCCGGAGAGGCCACGCTCGGAAGGCTGCATGCAATTTTGGTCACCACAGTACAAAAAAAAAAAAA